TCGTGTCCTTCGGCGTGCCAGCCCTTAAATTATGCAGACCCCTCGCGCCGGCGGTAGATGCTATTCGCCATTAGACATCAGAGAGAGAACCAGTCTCTTCTCTCCCCCTCCGACATCGTCGTTGCACCTTCGCCCTTCCGAGGGCACGCAGGTGACGCGCAGGCGGTGCGCTGTGTGCGTGTGTGTGTGTGTGTGTACGGTTGGTAAATCAAATTGTCGGGTACGCGCGTTTGTGCGCTGCGAATTGTCGACCGCACATTCGTGCGCGAATGAGTGCAATCTGTTGACTTAATGACATAATTTGCCGCTAATAGAGGTAGCTCTACACATCTGTCATAATAGATAATTCGTGTAGACTCGCGAGAATGCGCTCGCTTTGACTCACGGACAGTTCTATTTTAGTTTCAAATCTGTATCTCGTTAGAGATCAAATGTTAATTCAAGTTTAGATTCAATTTTTAACAATTACGTTCTCAGAGTGATCGAAAAGTAATTATGAATTGTCCCACATTTTACAATTTTAAAATAAACATTAAAATAAATAAATTTGACAGATATAAAGAATATTGATAAATTATATTATTTGTTATTAAAATATAAGTGAATGAAATGTAATGTACAAATGTAAATTTCTTTGAACATTCCTCTACATTATTTTATAAAAAAAGTGTTACTTTACGGGAAATCAATTCAATAATTAACCAGAAAAATCAATTAAATTAATTAAAAGGATTTATTCTGATTTTAATTTAAAAAAAAAAAAAATAATATCGTAATGTCGCTGACATTTTGTCAACATCTTAATTGGATATTTGCTTTTTACCTATTCAATTACTTTTCCCAATTGTTTATTATCATTTCTAGCTTTCTCAATTGAGTTCACACGGAGCCTAGAAGTACATGATCGTCGTCATAATTATCACCGCGACGGAACGCTTCTATCATCGACACGGCGGAGGCGGTTTGCATCGCCTCGGGATTCTCCCGGTGTTATTATCGACCGATCGAACAAGCGGGCAATCCGTTAAGGAGTCAGCATCTTTTGCATTTACATTGCAGAAAAGGAACAAGAGTCGGCAGCTGCTGCGAGCTACGTCTCCGGTTTCCACCCCGCCCGAAGAATCGCGTTAGTCATACGCCGAATGTGATTCACAGTCGCGCGCACCCGGTGATTACTGGCTATCTTTGTAGGCGGTACGTAAAGTGCCTGACACACATGCTGCGAATTTATGCGAATTTATTCTCCAAGCGAATGGCCCGCGGAGGAAGCCGGCGATTAGAAATCTAGCATACATCTGCATCACATCGCGAATGCCGCACTACGTCAAGTCGGAGCGCGTGGATAATGAACCGAATGAATAATTACCGTGCCGAAGTTATGGCTTCCAGCGAAAAAATTTCCCCCGTTTCGCAAAATCAAATCGTACAGAATGTCTGTGAGTGCTATAAAATCGTGTAAAAAATTCTGGGATTACGTTTTTTAATTGCCGATGTTTAAAATATCGTTAGGATGCGTGTTTACGCTACCGTCGACCGGGAGTGAATAACGGATGGATTTAGATACCGCGGCCGCATCGCGTATCGCATTCATCTCCCGCGTTTATATCGGATTTTTAGCGTGGCGAGATACTCGCACGATTCATTACCGGCAAATGAAAGAAGAAACCGTACAACGGCCCGTTAAAGATACAAATGCGGTTCTGCGCTTAAGTACGCGCTGACATAAGGCGTAACAGTTTACGTTGCACGCTACGTATATATTGCGTATCGCTACATACGGGATGTCACAAAACTACCAGACGTTCTTTTCCTCTTCGCCAGTTTGAAGATTTTTTTCTCAACAAAAATATCTCTTAATTCTCCAGGAATTAATCGTTAAAAACATGGAGCTTTTAACGAACTAAAGATGATATAAAATCGTTGTCTTTAGTCAATTTAAAAAAACTCGACTTTAATAGATGCTTAATTTCAAATGTAATTAATATATTAAATTTCTAAACCAAAATATTTTGAAAATTTCAATTTTTTAATTATATTTTGATACCATCATTATCACGTGCATAATTAATAAAAATCTTTTTAAGTTTTAAATGAATACGACTGTTGCAATTACAACACTCAGATTTTTTTAAATGTTACGTTTGAATTTATAAACTAAGAAAAATACTTTTCCACGTAAAATAAATATGTAAAATTTTGAAATAACGTTCGCATATATTTTTGTTCAAAAAAATTCGCGAGGATAAGGCACTCTTTCTCGAATAAAATATCCTTTTAAAAGATCACCGTTTCGATTGTGCAACATCCTGTATATCCCTCTCGTAACGCTCCCGAGCAGAAGGCCGCAAGTCCGGTCACATAACGGTCCAGTTATGGTATGGCGAGGAAGCGAATCTCTCGACACACGATTCCCTCGTTACACGAACGTGTCCTCCACCACCGATATCACCGCGTCGTATTTCCGTCCACCACCTTGCTTATCCCCCGGTCACCGCTGATGCGCCTCGCTCCTTCGAGCGTATACCCGCGCGTGCATTCACGCCTCGATATTTTCCCCTTTTTATTTTTTTTTATCGCCTCGACGAACGCACGAACGATTGCGATACGCGTCGAGATACATTCGACCGCAAATAAGCACGTTGGTCTTCCCGTTTGTGTATACATTGTGGTAGATAATAATAATAATGACATAATGACGTAATCACGATAGTTACGATAACATTAGGTATGTTAATGGCTCTTATTAACGTGACTGTTGCGATAGCATCGTGCCCGATACACGCGAGACTACGCCTACACACAGGACTTCCTTCCTCGAGATATCCTCGAAGCGTCTTCAAAATGAATGTTTATGCCTGTCTATTTAACCGACTATTTTTACCGCGGCAGAATCAGCAGCTATAATATTATTATTGTATGCTAATTTTTATTACTGTCCTTGTATCGCAGCCAGCAATCACCTTATGCAAAAATTTCTATTATGCAGAAATTTCTCGTACAAAAATTTCGTTTCATTTTCTTTATTAAGAAATATCGTTTCGCGATTTCATCATGCAACACGCAATAAATGCGATTTTAATTATCATCTTTGGATGAAGATCGTAATAAGGCGCTGCAATAAGCGCAATGAGCGCAGTTCCGAATCAGGTGTGTCGGAAGAAGTAAGGAAAATGGAACAAAACACTCACTTGCGTCACACAGGCCGAAAATTACGGATATCGCCTACACTTACCTCTTGATTGAACCAAGTCTCGGTGCCTTTCGGATAATTCCGATCCTTAAAGCGGCAGAGATCATAATTACCGTCGAGACCGACGGGAAATTGTACGGAGTTAAATCGAGAGGCGATAAATCGAATTAAAACGATCGCGTGGAAGGTGCATGCGGGTGAGTGATGCAACGCAATAATGATAGTGGCAATGATAATTCCACGGCGCTTGTTAAGATAACAGGTAATAAGCTAATTGGTTTGCGGATCGACCCGACAAACACGGCGCAAGAAATATTTTTTTGCAATTAAAAGAGCAGAAATAAATACAAATACGAAAAATTGTAGAGTGCGAACAAGCTAGCACTTCTACAGTTAGGTAGCGCCGAACTATCCGTGTATTCGCCATTTGCGTGGCAATTGCTAATATCGCGAATTATAAATGCACACGTGATCTGCCGCTAGCTTGACCTTTGATCAGAATTAATTTCATGTCCGCCGTACGTGCGGTTTTCGCGCCGTTCGTTGCACAAACCTTAAATTTTCGCGGCTCAGATTAATTTCGACAAATAAGTCAACGTTAAATATTTTGCCCTTAGCGCCATCAGGCACGTGAGACAAATTGAATCAATTTTTGTTATTGGGAAATTTTACGAAACTTAAAAAAGTATGCTTTGCTTATTGCGACTGTGAGCTGCTTGGAGAACCGAGGATCGTCGCAAGGCACTAAAAATCCACCTCGACACAAGAACCGCAAAATGTCAATGATGCGAGCATAATGATCCGTCAAGAACTCACCAATTCGGTGGGCATGGTGTTGCAAGACCTGAGAGGCAGATTGTAGGTGATCGGCGTTGGTTGACTCCTGTATTCCTGCAGACAGGAGCTGTTCTTCGACAATCCTCGCGGATAGACCAGACCGTGAAAGTCCGTGTTGCCCTCCGTCGAGATGTGAACGATTATCGACTCGCTCGCGCACTCGATCTGCACGGTGCTCGCTATCGCCGCGGTCGCTGGAAAAAAAGAATCAACGATATATTATATAAATTACAACAATTTTAAACTTATGATTCGCGATGTGTAAATCCGGATCGCAGAAACCCAATCTAAATCTAAATTACAAAACGCTGGATTAGAGACGCATCTTTGAATATTACGTATATCGATACACCTCTCGGGTGCGAAGTGGCGTAACGGTACGCCTGACGCGATCAATTATTCGATACCGCGCCAGATATACTTGAATGAGGGACGATACAAATCGGTACACCCATCGGACCGACTGCCATATCCGTGTAGCGCGCGCGGCGGGGCATTGTACCCGGCGTACGGTAATTCATCGTTATTAATGCCCGACACGTCCGGGCTAATTCGCTCGGAGTTTAATAACCCAAGTTCATCTGTTGCGAATCGCGCCTGCTCTCGATTTCAAGATAATCGCACGAACGAGAGAACATGAGACTCTCCGTTACGAGGCGAAGCGAGCTTCAATTACAGACAAGTCCGATAATCTTTTCCGACGATTTTTAACGAGGCATTCCGTCGCGGTGCTTTCCGGTGTAACAAATAAGTTACCCACGCTGTCTGTCATGGGCGCTGCCGCCTTTCGAGACGTTCACGGTTCACTGGAAAGGGATCAGAAAACGAGAGGATTTTCCGCGGCGACTATTTGTAAGAGTAGCCGAGATGAAAACGAGCGCGACGCGCAATAGCGGGGACAATAAAAACACGAGAAATCGAGCAAAACTCGCGCCGATTGCGGAATAATTGCGATAATGTATGTGTGTGTATATAAGCTATCGTTTTCACAAGAAACTAGATCCGGTCAGCCTTACAAAGTGCGAATCATCGATTATCTTCGCAGATACACTCCTTTTGATATCGCAAATAAATGACTTCAACTCCTATTTCATAGAACTCGTCTTACGATTGTTGAAAATGACGTCATTTGCGAGAGAAATAGAAGTACTTCGGACACTTCAATTTAATTATAATGATGCAAGCTATCGTAGAAAACTCGCAACTTTAATTTTAATGACAAAGCAAAAATAAACGCAGAAAGTAAAAATAAACTTAAGTTTTTCTACAGAACATTCTTTTTCAGTTGCGATATATTTTCTGCATTTTATTATTATAAATTTATTATTACACTTTTCTTGTACATTTTGAAATCTGTTTGTTCCACGAAATTTTTTATTGATACATAGTTGTTTTTCAAGTTTTACAATTTCGATTATTTTGAAGGAGCCTTTAAGTCTTTCATTTGTCTAATAAGTTTCAAGTAAAAATCTATTTTAAATAAATTAAAGAATATCTTATTATATCGTGTATAAGTGACTTAATTCTATCGCTTACAATATTCTCAATAATTGCTTACGCGATTCAAAAGTGCAAGAGGAATGAGTGGTCTTTCTACGGTAAATCTTTCATGGCAGAAATCCTAGAAGATTAATGAAAACTTGGTTCATGTCCGTTGGTCCCTGACTAATTAGCCATAAAAGTGCATTCACATACCGAAACGGCGCATCGCTTCCACAGGCGTAAAATCACGCTGCCGACCGCTTGGCCGCTCACAATTTCGTTCATCAGCTTCGCGCAATCGCGTTACGGCCGGCGATGAGAACTTCAATTAAATTTATTACGTATGCGCGACGGAGAGTGAGCAAAATTGCAGAGTCAGACCGCGCTCAGAGGCTACTCTTAATGCGCGGCGAAAATTGAACTCGGCGGAGCGAAATGAATGGCTGCCATTAACAACGACAATGGCTCATATATCGTTACCTGCGATCACAGGTTGTACACAACGCTCGCGTATGTATCTCTTCTCTATTTCGTTTTTTTTTTTCTTCTTTCTTGCGCCTACAATATTTTACACGTGGAAAATATTATCTCGTTAATGCCGCGGAATATAATCGACCGAATCTGCCATTACCAGCGGGGGCGATTAAAACGGGACTCATGCACATTCATCGCGTCTAATGAGCTCCGCGGATTATCGCTCCAGAAAATTCATTAAAGCGTCGAGACGACGAAGCGAGCGGGAGGAGGCGGCGCCGCCTGAACCAATTGGGAAGCTCACATGCACCGCGCGCGAGTCGTAATGACAATAATCATTGGCGGATCATCATTATCAGTCCGCTCGGGGAGACAATGATGAGAGAGTTGTGAACTTGACTCGTCGTTGTCGGCCGGTCACGTCGAGCATGCCGACGCGCTCTCTTCCCACTCTCTCGCAACGAAGAATCTTATTCAGACGCGAAATGCTGTATCGTGTTACTCGGATTATTATCCCCGCGAGGAAGTATCGCGATGTATCAGTGATTGCTCTTTCCTGTAAGGAAATATTCCCTCCATCGAATAAGCTCGGAATTCCCATTCGACATCCGCACTTCTGCGCTCTCTTCTCGATCTTTGCTTACTTGCTAGAAGAATAATTGCATTAAGCACATTTTGTATCTGTTGCAGTATGAAATAAGTAAATAATTGTCAAATTTAGACGTAATATTTTTAGAAAGATATAAAATTAAATATGAAGACATTTAATAATTAAATCTGATCAACTTATCATTTAATTTCACAAACTTTCTATTCGGTAAATTATATGTAGCATGTTTCACAATTTTAATGGCAGATTCTCTGACCAATTTCAAGTCGATTTTCCCGTAGCAAAAATATGACACAAAAACAACTAAAAAAAAAATAGGCCTTTCAAGCTAACTAAACTTGAAGAGAGAACAGATACAATTATTTCTCTAAACGGGTTCTACTTTAATAGAAATTTAATTTAAAGTTTCGTTACAAAGATATATAATGTTGCATGTATATTTTTCAAATAACTATTTTTTCTAAAAGAAAGATAATAAGATAAGAGAACAGTCGGTTATATCTTATAGAAGTACATTAATTATATTCATTTTTCATTTTCTTTTGTTTGACATTCTTTCGCGTCACAGCTGGGCAACGTAGATAATCACAGAAAAACCTAATTCTCAGACGGACAATTCAAAGTCCGCGTTTGACGAGCGTTTCCGCGGCGCTATTCAAGTGTCCCTCCTTCGCTGAATCGAAGAACGATGCCCGATCACGTTGGAAAGCAATTAACGACACGCGAAAAGTTAATGGCGTTCCTCTTCGCAATACCGAGCCCCGATCACATCGGATCACAGTTGGAAATATCAAAGCGGTACCCCGAAACGAAGCCGTGAGGTTAACGACCGGCCGCGTTCACGATTCCACACGATTTATTTTGACTTTTCAGCGCTTCTTGTGTAGCAAAGTCGATTGAGAAAAAGAGGAAGAAAGTCTTTTTTCGACAAATACAGAAGCATCGCTTCTGAACATAATTTTTATGATATAGATACAAATTTTTATCGTAATTTTACAGTGTTCAACTGATATTAATAAGTCGAAATAACTATATTTCCCTCAAATTATCTATAATTCAATTAATTATACATTAGTTGCTCGTGTTCGCTGAATTTTATAAATACAAAGATTGAATATTAATACGCAAGAAGTTATACTGGCTTAAAGCAGAAATAAGTAAAGCAAAATATCTTTTGCGAAATCTATTACGCCACTAATATGTAATTAATATTTACTCGTTGGTGTCATTATCTAGAACCAATTATACGTGTTTAAAATCAGTCGATAACGATTCGTCACGACATCCTGCGCGACATTATCACTCTGGGACGAAATCAAGCGTCGGATCGCGTCGCATGGTCCAAGTCGGACCGGAAATCGAAGGTACTTGACCTTTCTCTTTACGCGACGGGCGGCGGGGCACGTACGTGGGACACGTATTGTGAATCTGGTGTCGGTGGTGCGAAGAAGATAAAAATGCTAATGAGTTCGCCTTACACTCGGCGTCACTTCTATTCGGTTTTCCTTTCTCTCGGTGGTAGCCTCTTCTTCTCCACCGCATGTGTGTGTACATTGTGGAGCGCGTACACACGCACACACACACACACACACACACATAGAGATGCGGTATTCTTTTCTTTTTCCGCCTGTGACTCACACGAGTTCCCGAAGGGCGAAACAAAGGCGCAACGTCGAAGAAGACGTTCCCCTGAGCGAGCGCAATTTGCAAACGACACGCGAGCCTCTTCCTCGCTCGCTGTGCGACTTCCGCCGCACGCAGAACCCGCATAAGAATTCACCTTCGCGTCTCCCGCCCCCTGCGTATTTTTTTTTCCTGTTTTCGTTGAAACTCATCTTCGCGCGCGGAATTGTTGCCGCGATCGTGAGAGACGACGAGAGAGCTGCGCGCAGTGCCAGAGCTACGCGGGATGAGAACTGTATTACCGGATAGTATTGAGCCGAGGATAGCTGCACGTGCAACATGCGCTCATTATGAAATGATTGCGGCGTGACGTCTGTACACGTTCTCCTATACGTTTCGCTCTAAGTACGTTTAGATTGCCTACCGAGTAGCCTAATGAAGCAGTGACGAGGCAAATTGAAAGTGCTCGATTATGCACATCAAGGGTCGTCCGTTTCGCACTAGGATTGGATCAATTATCTGATCGCGCAAAGCCAGATGAGAGATTGTATTAACCTTACAACGCAATTGTAATGATTTTCAATGAAAATACAATTTTGCAATTTTTGCGATTCATCTTTTTTTTCAAACGAAAATAAAACCACGGAAAAATGCACTTTTCTATATGGTTGAGTTAATAGAAACGCGAAACATTTATATTTCATAATAACACTTGCGTGAAACAATTTGCCGACTTGGGTCTTTCGCAAAAATCTAGGCGAAGAATGAAGTAAAGACGAGGCGTGTGCGTTATACGTAAATGTGGTTTACTCAATAACCGTTCTCGTGTGTGCATTTTACCGCTCGAACTCGTAAAACCGGCCGTGCCTTTGGCAAAGTGATACTTTTCAGAATTCTCCCGACGGCACCGCGGTTCAACGACCCCCCCGTACTTACGGTATATAATTCATTTAAGTCGCGGCAAGCACGTCGGTAATTCAGGATGCTAAAATATGAGGAGAAATT